ATTAATAGAAGAAGGACTCGCAAAAGCAAATAATCGTGACTTACCAATATCTCCTGTTCTGCACACAGAAAAATATTATTCTATTGCTAAGTAAAATGATTACTCAGTTTACTTTTACTTTACTTCTTTTAAGTTATCTTTAACAAAGAATATTTTCTTAATAATAGTCTTAAAATAGACTTGTCACAAATTTTAGAAATACTCGTTATCATGTACTCAAATAAAGTAAATATTTTCTTTTGAAGAATATTATGAAATTTTATCGAAGATAAAAAGTCAGATATGGTTAATTTAATGTAAGACAATTTATTAGATCAGAAAAATTTAATGTATTTTTTCAATTATATAATTTAATATTCTTGATTGAAGTATATTAAAGTTATTAGGATTTAGAATATATTTTGAATAAATTTGATCCTTATGATGAACTTATGATAGATTTACGGATATATGAACTTTTGAAATACTTGAAGAAAATCGTTGTATAAGAGATAGTTTCACAATCTATCATTAATATTAAATGATAGGTTGGAAGAAGAAGAAGAGGAAGAACGAAACGAACAAGAAGAAGAAGAAGTTCCGCTAGTTCAGTCTCACTGGCAACCTGGAGATGGTTTTCTTATACGAAATGCGTGAAGTCGTCAGTTCTTTGTTACATCTTTCTGCAATAGTAAATGTATTTGCAAAACATAAGAAGATAGTATTACAATTGTATTTTGTACTTGTCATAGACAAATATAATATGCTTTAATAGATAAATATGTAATAAAAATAATAATACCTTGCGAAGCAGTAGTACTTTCTACATCATCCTCTATATTTATCGAATATTCATCTTCATGATTGGATAATACTTCTACGCTTTGATCAGTAGATATCAATTCAAACACAAAGTCACGTTTATCTGAAACGCACAAAACAATAGAAATAAGTTTATATCTTTTTAGTTAACATTTTATTTTATTTTATTTTATTTATTTCTTTTGTTTAGTTTGTATTATTTCATAGTTTATTTTTATTTATTTATTTATTTTGTATATATCTGTTTTAGAAAACATTATTAAGAAAGCTAGCATTTTTTCTGACCCTTTTTTACTAGCGATAAGAATAGAAAAACGGTACACACTTTACGTTGTCTCAAGCATTACATCCCTACAATTTTTTTTTTTTTTTAATATATTTGTGTGACTTGCGAGTGTCAAATTGGCCGTCGAGTTAATCCTAGTATAAAGCCGATTACTAGTTTATTGTAATACAAAAAATCCGATTGTTTGTAATGGTTCTTAATAAACGACTTTACAAAAAAAAAAAAAAAAGGGAGTAGCGCGCCTGACTCACATCCCAGAGATCTCGGGTTCGATTCCCGACTCGACCCTGGCCTGCGCTTTCCTATTTTTCCTACCCTACCACCTCCCAAACAAATTCCTTCCTTCTCTCCTTCCTCAAGAGAACGTACTCACTGAATTATACTCTAATATAACCTGTTGTTGGCTAAAATATATTGATCTACCCCTGATCATATAGGCCATTTAAATATTAAGAAGAAGAAGAAGAAGAAGAAGAAGGCCAACTCGCGACACCTCTTCAGGGGCACGCGAACTTATTTCGCCACGAAGTGCCGAGGCAGGCGGGAATGTTTGAGATCGCATTAAAAGAAATATAATTTAATTACATCTATGCAACATGGGCTTCGCATAGCAATTTTACCGCGATCAAAGTCGAAAAACATTCAAAGAAACAGCCAAATTGTTATTCTCGTAATTATTATTCGAGGTTTTTTGGTGGTAACGAAGCCCATGTCACAAACAAGTACAATAATAAAACGCGAAAACAACTTTGACGGTTGGCCGCTCGATAAACGGCAGCCGGCGCGCGCGAGGCCGTGACGTACGGGCCACCGGCCTATCACTCGCGCTAAGTCGCATCTCGCGTCGAAATTTCGAGTAGCGGCCAATAAAGCTCGGCGCCGCTCAAGATATTCGAACCGAATACGGTGGTTCAAATTGATTGGCAGCGAGCGAGCAAAGAGCTCATATAAAAGAGCCCGCTTCCAAAAAGACAAGGACACTCGCTGAAAACGCGTAGAGTAATCGCATTCGATTTACCGCTTCTGATAACCGCAATTCTTTTGATAACCGCTTTCTTCGTGATACACCGCATTTAAGATAACCGCTCATTTCTGGACAATCTCTTTTTCTGACTTTTCGGAGACTTTGTAATGTATTATAAAATTATATACGTATAAAAAAACGTATTTTTATCACATATTTGTCACATATTTGAACTTAAAATATTTCAACACTTATTAAAACATAGAAAAAAATAATAATAAACATAAAAATTATAGGTGTGTAAAAATATTATCTTTATCTATAGATTGACATTCTATAATCCTGAGTTTTGCTTTATTGATATGTATTTCTAGCTTTTGTACTTCTTTTAAATGTTTCAATTGCATATAATTAAATTCTTTTAGATGCTCTTCTTTCATAACTGCTATTCTTTCTTCATGCTTTAACTTAATATTTGCTAATTGTTCATCTTGTTTCATAATTTGCTTTATTCGTAATTCCTTCTTTCATTCTTCATTTGATACTTCCGGCAAATCTTTTCTCTTTCGTTTGAAAATACGTGGTTTTTTGGTGTCGTTGTTCGAATGTACTTCTGGCATATCTGTATTGTGTGAAGTCGTCAGTTCTTTGTTACATCTTTCTGCAATAGTAAATGTATTTGCAAAACATAAGAAGATAGTATTACAATTGTATTTTGTACTTGTCATAGACAAATATAATATGCTTTAATAGATAAATATGTAATAAAAATAATAATACCTTGCGAAGCAGTAGTACTTTCTACATCATCCTCTATATTTATCGAATATTCATCTTCATGATTGGATAATACTTCTACGCTTTGATCAGTAGATATCAATTCAAACACAAAGTCACGTTTATCTGAAACGCACAAAACAATAGAAATAAGTTTATATCTAATATATTAAATATATCGAAAATACATCCATCAAACAGTGAAGAAGTTGAAGCGCATATATTATTGTTTGAGATCGCATTAAAAGAAACATAATTTAATTACATCTATGCGACATGGGCTTCGCATAGCAATTTTACCGCGATCAAAGTCGAAAAACATTCAAAGAAACAGCCAAATTGTTATTCTCGAAATTATTATTCGAGATTTTTTGGTGGTAACGAAGCCCATGTCACAAACAAGTACAATAATAAAACGCGAAAACAACTTTGACGGTTGGCCGCTCGATAAACGGCAGCCGGCGCGCGCGAGGCCGTGACGTACGGGCCACCGGCCTATCACTCGCGCTAAGTCGCATCTCGCGTCGAAACGTACATTGTGTTTATTACTGTTTAAAACTGTTGCGTTATTTACGTGAATTGACATTATTGTTTATTTAATCATTAAAGACAAAAACTTAAAATTCGTGAGTGCTTTTTTGTGACGCCAAATCGTTCTGCAAATCCTTGCGTTTCGTCGCGCTCTAATTTTTGGGTCGCTCTCGAACATTTTCTGGTCCTTCGAATCGGATTTCCGCCGGCATCCGCTCGTTCGGGAGTGATTTCCAATGAATTTCTGTGACCACCTGAAAAAAGAGAAGTCATCATGAGCGTAGACTTGGCCACCTTGATAAGCGCTCAGCGTGACATTCACGGTCGCATGTCCCGATCCGTGGACAATCTGAAGAAACTGGGCGCAAGCGGCATCAATCCCAGCGCGATCGAAACCAGAATCGAGATCCTGGATCAACTGTGGGCAAAATTCCAAATGCAGCACGAGAGTATCCGCTCCTGCTACAAGGAAAAATATAACAAGAGTGAGTACGCTACTGAATTTTTTGACACCGTCGAAAATACGTACGTGCAACAACGTAGTACGCTCTCCGCATACGCCGATCGTTACAAGACTGCTCCGTCAACTTCGACTGCGTCAAACGAGCAGCAAACCGGAGACCATTCGATGAAAACCGCGTTACCTCTTATCAAATTGCCGCAATTTTCGGGCTCGTTTGAGGATTGGCCTTCGTTCCGCGATCTATTTCTCTCCGTGATCGGCGACAACTCCGCAATCTCAAAAATTGAGCGATTGCACTACCTTCGGTCGTGTCTCCAAGGGCCCGCTGAAAGATTAATTTGGCCATTATCAGTCACTGGCGAAAATTATGACCGAGCATGGGCACTCTTAAAAAAGCACTTTGAAAATAAGAAAGAGCTAATACGCTCCAACTTCGCCGCTTTTACCGCTGTAAATAAAATAAAGGGAGAGACCGCGGAAGAACTCAGCCGAATCTATCACGCCGTGACGACCGCCGTGAACGCGCAGGAGAGCATCGCGCGGCCAATCAACTCACACGGCATGGATCTTTTTAATTTTTTGGTCGTTCAGTTGTTCGATTCTCGCACGCGCTTGGAATGGGAGGCCTCAACCTGCGACTCGTCAAATCCACCGAATCACGACGTTCTGCTCGAGTTCATCACTAAGCGCATGCTCACGTTGAAAGCAGCAAAGAAAACGAGCACCGCAAAAACCTCCGGGGTGTATCGCGTTCCGCTAAATCGTACTTCACCAAACACGAGTTCAATGCTGCACAGTGCGCGATGTGCAAAGAGCGGCATTTGATCATGGCTTGCGGGCTGTTTAAAGCGAAGCCAGTAAACGAGCGTCGATCTTTCATCGAATTGCATTGCTTGTGCTTCAACTGCCTCGGCAATCACCCAGTAGCAAGGTGTCAGTCAACGAAGTTGCAGTTGGTCGTGCAAGGCGCGGCATCATTCCATGCTGCATGACGCGTACGTCACTCCGAAGCCCACCGACGCGACCTCGCTTTCCGCAGTCAACAGGGCCGATGACCGCAAGGCTATTCTTCTCGCGACCGCGCGAGTCCTCGTCGCCGACCGCTACGGAGAGCCTCATTCCGTTCGCGTTTTGATAGACCAAGGATCAGAGGTATCCGTGGTCACCGAGGCGCTGGTGCAACGTCTCCAACGAACCCACTCCGCGGTGACGATTTTCGGGATCGGCGGGTCACTGTCCACGGTACAACGCGCGGCAAAGTAGCACTGGATCTAATGTCAAAGGTGACTGGAGCAAAGTTCTCCGTCGTTGCCTTTGTGCTTCCCCGTCTCTCATCATATCAAGGCTCCACGACGAAACACCGCAAGAGCTGGCCACACCTCAAGGGACTACCGTTGGCCGAACCGAACTACTTGGCCACCGACCCAGTCGAGCTGCTTCTTGGAGCAGAAATCTGCTCGGCAATTTCCGAGGATGGACTCCGCAAGGGTGGACCACAAACTCCCATGGCGCAGAACACCATCTTGGGATGGATTCTGTCAGGGGGGTGCGGCATTGCAACACTGCACGGCCACCTCAAATCTTTCCAGTGCACTGCTGACTTCGATCTCACAACGATGGTCCGCCTCTTTTTGAAGCAAGAAAAAGTGCCTTCCGCTCCCTCCGCTCTCGCACCCGAGGAAGACAGGTGCGAGAACTTCTCCGTGCAGACGCACAAGCGCAACATTGATGGACGGTACGTTGTTCGGCTGCCGTTCACAACAACCCCAAGGAACCTCGAGGAAACCCGCAGGCCAGCCGAGAGATTGCTGCATGCTATAGAGCGGAAAGGCAGCCAGGACTCTCGTTTCGGCGATCTGTACCGTTCATTTATGCAGGAGTACGAGGACCTGCAACACATGAGCGAAGTCAAGGAAAGATCGAACAAAGACAAAGGAGCCAGAATCTGCTACTTACCGCATCACGAGGTATGTCGGGAATCAAGTGCCACAACCAAACTACGCGTCGTGTTCAACGGGTCACAGCGAGCCCGGTCCGGAGATTCCTTAAACAACCAGCTGCTTGTAGGGGCGAATATTTTTCCAGCGCTCGCCGACGTCCTCCTCCGCTGGCGGTGGCATCGATATGCGATTGTGGCGGACATCGAAAAAATGTAACGCCAAATTCTCGTTCACCCCGACGACCACAACTTACAACGCGTGCTCTGGCGTCGCGACAACACTAGCGAGGTCCGCGAATACAACCTTAATACCGTGACGTACGGCCTCGCATGTGCACCGTTCTTGGCGATTCGGACTTTGCGCCAGCTCGCTGACGACGAGGAATTCCGCTTCCCTCACGGGGCCACTGCGCTACGACGGGACTGCTACGTTGACGACGTTGTTTCGGGAGTCAACACATTGTCTGAGGCTACAACTCTGCAGCGTGAACTTCACGGACTCTGCATGGCGGGCGGGTTTCCGCTGCAAAAGTGGGCCGCCAATTGTGAGGAGACAATCACCGAAGTCCCGCAGGAAGACAGGCTTCTCAAGGCTCAGCACACCTGGGAGGATGAGCTTCAGTCCACGCTTGGTCTTCTATGGTACTCGCGCAGCGACCAGTTCGCTTTTGCGATCCAAGCCCGCAGAACCTCCGAGTACACGAAGAGGCGCGTCCTTGCAGAAACCGCGCGTCTTTTCGATCCATTGGGCTGGCTGACTCCAGTGGTAATCCGCGCGAAGATCTTGATCTAATCCACCTGGTTGCAAGAATTGGATTGGGATGTTCCGCTTCCTCCCGCCGAACAACGACAGTGGCGGCTTCTTCTCGAGAAGCTTCCACAACTGGAGAATTTACGAATTCCTCGCTGGCTTCAAACGGGAGATGAAGCCTCAACTTTCCAAATACACGGCTTTGCGGATGCGTCCGAGAGAGGATACGCCGCTGCCGTGTATCTCGGCATGTCTAACGGTGACACCGCGACAATCCATCTTCTGGCTGCGAAAAGCAAAGTTGCTCCTATAAAGCAAATTTCGTTACCGCGCCTCGAACTTTGTGCCGCAACATTGCTAGTAAATCTTACTCACCATATAAGCACTGCATTGAGTCTTTCCACAGCCCCAACGTACTTATGGTCCGACTCCAAGGTCACGTTACTGGATCCAAGGACACGCATCAAGGTGGAAAACATACGTGCCAATCGAGTAGCCCAGATCCAATTGACGCTCCCAAACGCTCAGTGGAGACATGTTCCCGGTCGAGAAAACCCGGCCGACTGCGCTTCCAGAGGGATAGCTCCCAGCGAGCTGGCTCACCATGCCTTGTGGTGGACTGGCCCTGATTGGCTCCGCCAATCCGAGCTCATTTGGCCGAAGAAGAACCTTGAGGCGCTCAAGGACGAACCGCCCGAGAAGAGAGCAACCACGCAC